TCGATGGGAACAGCCGCAGATGTGTGGCCACAATCGACTTGAACCTGAAGCAAACATCAATAAATTACAACCAGCATGAGGGGGTCGGTGATGATTCGGCAGGCACTGGCACTCACTTGTCGCTGAACGCATTAAAGTCGCCCAGGAGCTCGCCTACACGGATGCCGTTGCGAGTGGCCTTGCTGGAGTAGGCCGGACCGATGCCCTTCTTGGTGGTGCCCAGCGACTTGCCGCCCTTCTCAGCCTCCTGCATGCCATCCACATGCTGATGGAAATCAAACACCAAATGCGCCCGATCCGAGATGATCAGCCGGTGCTCCAAGTGCTGCAGGCCCTTGGCCTCGTTCTTCAGCACCTCATCGAACAGCGAGGGCAGGTGGATGACAACGCCATTGCCTGCAAGTGCACAAATAAATATTAGTTTAGAGCTTTGGGTATATCTGGGGGATCTCCCTACTTGCTGAAACTGCACACTTTATGGGTAATAAATGTGCAAGCTATTACGTCTAGCAGTCATGTGACTGCCTCTGCCGTACGCCTTACATAAAGGCACTACAACTGTACTGCCTGTACTGCATTCCCATTCCCCCGACATTCTCTCAGGTTCAGTTGCTCTCGTTTCTTAATTGGAAAACTTGTTCTCGGAACTTATTTCCTATATTTTAATGCCGGATACAAGGTTCATCTGAACCAAGGTTCAGAATGGAAACGGTTGCCCAATTCGATCAAACACAATCTAAACTCCGATGCAATGCTGCAGAGACCCACTAAAACTTGCTAACGCTCGTATCTAACAAGTGCTTACACGAGCTGTTACTAGTATAGCTGTTATCTAGTAGTTTTTATGGTACATTGAGTTTTTATTTGATACATACATGTGTACATATGTTCACTAATTTCGTTGAACTGTGGCTATTTATTGTTGGTAGAGCTTGCCCATCTGCTAACTTAACAGAGAATGCAGGCGGAATCAAGTGGTTTGAATTTTCCTGAGAATCTGTAAAATATCACGCATATCTTTCTACATTCTGACAATAAATTTCATAACAAGCTGACGACGAGTTTCGAAGAATATGGAAACGATTCGGAATTCATAATGCCTGGGCACGCGAGCTGGCTCTGCGAACGGCTGATGTACAAATTGGGCATGGAGTAAGTTGGAAATTAAAAATAATAAGCTAATTGCCTGATTAGAATAATTTGTCCCCCCACCCGTTGCGTTTGATTGTGTGGGTGGGTGGATGGATGGTTGGTTGTATGCGAGTGTGTGTGTGTGTGTGTTTGTGTGTCATAAACGATATCTAAACAGCAAAAGCTCTCACATCACCACCAAAGCCAACAGACACACTCAACAGCTATTTCAATGGGTTTTCTTTCTTTGTGTTTGTTGGGGGGGGGGCTCTGTTCTGATTATCTCATAAATTAGTCTTGTGACAAGCGATGAGAATGCACAATTTGTTGTTGTTGTTGTTGTTGTCCTGGTAAACAATGTCACCAACCACAACATCGATTAAACTTTGCAGCGCAGAAGAGCAGGATAAAAGTAGCCAGGAGAGAGATATACTCGTGAATAAATTGTCAATAACGACCTTGGTGACGTCATTGGCAGCACCACCAGGCACAAGCGTAACCAACTTTTCCGCTTAACTTTGATTAAATTATTTCCATTTTCCCACCGCCCACACATTCACGAAAATAGAAAACCTTTTATTTTCATGGGCGAGCGATATCAAAGTCGAAAAACAGATCCATCTGACTGACCCGCAAGCCAATGTCAATGATGCACTATATCTTGCCAAAAATTCCTTCATATACTGCATGTGAATATATGTACATATGTACATGTGTACATACATATGTACATATATTAGTATTTTCTCGATACATTAAATTTCGCGAGGGAAAAACTAAACTAGAAACAAAATAAACGAAGAGGCACATGTGCATGCATACATACATTTTTTGGTACAGTGGAATATCTATTGGCGGATAACATTAGTCTTACTTTCAGCATCGACCACTGCTCGCTCGACCTTCATTGTATAAATGTCGTTACATTTTCGTTAAATTTAAAATATGAAAATCAAAAGTGAATGGGTAAGAAATCGTTAGCTTACTTTCCAATTTAAAACCCTTCTTGCTAGAGATTTTTCTTGCTTGCCTTAGCCTTAATTTGCATTTCTTGACTCGATGGATCCCATGGTATCATTCTGATCCTGGCCTCTCAAAACTTACCAATGACCGAGATGCACTTCTCGTTCACGACGCCGCTCGGCAGTAGATGGAAATCGAATTCGGTGCCATTGGCCACCACAGTGTGTCCAGCATTATTGCCGCCCTGTGTGAAAAAATTAAAAAGAAAAAACAGGTCAGAAAATCCGCCAAATGGTATAGTATATCAACCCATCCATATAAAACACATACATATGTATAAAGATTGTATTAATATTGATATACAAAATTAGCATTGTTTGTTTGGCTTTTGCGTGTGTTATGGCAGAGAAAAACAAAACCTGTGCGAAATGAAAAATAAATAAAATATTCTTATGTCAATTGAATAACACCCGTTCCGTCCCGTGTTTCGGCACATTTCGGGCGGCCATCAAATGTGCCCACGTGCCCCACACTGTGTCGCATGAAAACGAAAACGTTCCACACACACAGATACCTATAACTATCGTAAAGAATTTCAGAGATACGCCAACACCCCAGGCCAGGTTGACGCCAGAAAGAAATTTTATTTGTTTTTCTCTTTCGTTTTGGCAACTGTACAAAATTTCTTGACTTTTGCTAATCTAACATTATATTATATACTGTAAAAAGCATAGCAAATGAAAAATGTGTGTGGTGATTAGCGGAGAAAGAGAAGAGTGAAAATTCTGGAACCTTCACAAATCATTGTGAAAAAGCAAAAACAAGACAATCAAAAAAATGTTTACGCAGTCCCAGTAACAGACCATACTACTCGTATAGTAGAGCTTTCTGTTCCTGAGCCATGATAAGATACGAGAAAATGGCGAGCCAAGATTATAGTCCCATTCCCAGTTCCAAATACAGACCCCGACCCATACCCGTCCATGGCCTTTCACTGCGCAATATGCGTAATCGGAGTAGCCGAGAGGCGTGTCAGTCGTGTGACTCAGTCCACAGAATTATCAGTTATATAACAAAGCTGCTCTGATAAGAGGGCTTCAGCTCTGCATTGTTGCTAGGAGATGCATTAACTTACATTGTGCGCCAAGAGGGGGGAAACTCCATTTCCTATCGTTCGTTGAACTAAAATAGTTCTGGGTTCAAGCCCAAACGGATATCAACAAGTTGTTATGGGGACATAAACCATCCGGCATGGCACGCAATGGTCAGCTCCAACGACAACAAAAAAGAGAGATTTACTAGGGATTCCGGGAATCTGCATTGATAAGAAACTAGTGCTCGGCTAAGACTGCATGCGCCCCTGTGGGGATGATGATGCCGGGTCGCGGCAAGTGTGTCTCGTCTCTGTCATGAGGTGACGACGGGGCATGGTGAATGATGTTGGTGGTTATGTAAACCTGGTCTGGCTGGTGGTTCGGTTCTGCTGAGCAAGCACAACAGATGTGGATGTGGGAATAGCACAGCGGAAAGGAATTAACGTCAGTCGAGGGCGAGAGAGCGTGAGACAGAGAGCGAGAGAGCACAAGTGACGAATTTTGGTTGGCAGACTCGCTGACGGAATACACACACACACTTATGTATGTGTTATATGTAAGCGATTCAAAGCAGGGAATAGGAATGAAAATGGGCAAGGTATAGTGAATAAAGAAGGCAAGGCAGTTCCGGATACTGTACTGAATTATGCTAGAAATAATTTTGGAGAAGCGTTACAGTTCAACCATGTGCAGATGATGCATATGGGATGAAACCGGAATTCCTTACCTTCTACATAATATACCCTGGGACCCGGAGCACAAACATGCGCTGAGCTACATACAAACACTTGAGCAAGCACAGACGCCGACACATACACAGCCACATGGCGGGCACAGAATTGATAAATACAAATGAGAAAGCATGCGGCGGCGATAATAGTTGGAAAAAAGCCCATCTACTTGTGAAATACTCAGATGCTGAGGCGGCAATGACAGCCGGGGGGAAGCGGAATTGGATGTCCTTCAGACAAGGATGTCAGGAGGCTACAGCCGCTGTGTTATCAATCACTCTCTTTTACCCCCCAGAGATTGGGTCGGTTACTCACCTGACACCTGCACACGATGTCCACTTCGGAGGCCAGCATGTCCACCACCTTGCCCTTGCCCTCGTCACCCCACTGGGCGCCCAGGACAACGTCCACTTTGGACTTGTACATTTTCGTCCGTCCTTGGTGCAATTTCTCGTAGAGATTGCCGTTGATGGCGTTTGTTGTTGACATTGCGACGACTAAACACGGAAAACAGGCGACACAGGAACCACAGAAACACGTTGTGAATGATTTCCGTCGCGCAGCGCAGCGAAATTAGACTCGGCTATTCAATATATACCCGCGATTTTGGTTTTTGGTTCATTATGCACTTGTACAGATGGGATACATATATCAATAGCGATAGTTTTGTGCGATAGACGAAACATGTCTGAATTTGGCAGAAAAATTAGAATATTTAGGGAATGAAACGGGCTTCATATGGGAGATCGGACAGGGACAGGGAGTAAATTAAAATACCTACATACATAAAATCGAGTCAGTAGTATAAGCTTTTTTAGTTGATTGGCATCACATTAAGGATTATCAACAGGCCCCAATGTCACTATCGATACTATCGTTCTTTTGAACCTGTATTCTTCCGCTTAAAATCAGCCGTTGGCCGAAATGTTCTTAATAGTGATTGTCTAACCGGATTAAATAAGTTTTTGTGGGATTGTTGGTTTGGCGGCAGAAGTTATTTATGCAATTTTCGTTTGCAATCCAATAATATGCCCATACCCTATGAATAATTCTACCATGAAATATAAAACAAATTGTCCCTCTGGTCGCACTAAAAACGCGTTGCCAGCTGTTTGGATGCCGCATTTTTTTGTTAAGACCGTGAATTTTTTTATTTTTGATCATGTCGGAGGCAGCTGAAAAGTGTCATTTGTAAGTAGAGGCACCTCTTTCAAGATGTAGTATTTATATTTAACTTCCATTGCAGCTGCCATGCAGTGCCATTCAAGTACAGCTGCCCCAAGTGCAATGCGCTGTACTGCAGTGTTGCCTGCTACAAGTCGCAGACACATCTCAAATGCTCCGAGGAGTTCTACAAATCCTGCATACAGGACGAGCTAGCCGGTGCGACTACGGCGCCCGAAAGCCAACAGGACATGAGAAAGATCTACGACATATTGAAGCGTATGCGGGAAACGGACGCTGGCTTCAATCCCAAGGACTTTGACGCAGACGGACTGGACAACCCGCTGGGATCGGACAATGAGGAAGGACAAGAAGATGATGATGATGAGGAAGAACCTGGCGATGAAACAGAAGAAGCATTTGAAGAGGAAGTGGAGGAGGACATTGCTGCGCGCCTGAAGGGCATCGACATCAACGACGCTGATGAGGTTTGGAGCCGCCTAACACAGGAAGAACAAGGCGAGTTCCAGAAGCTAATTGCCAGCGGGGACATCATGAAGCTCATGCCGGACTACAAACCCTGGTGGGGCAAGGCGAAGAACTCTAAGATTGTGGAAATTCCTGCACCAGGAGAAGCCAAAAAAACAGACGACTCCATACCCGAAATCCAAGAGAATATACCAAAGTTCTCGGATATTTGCCAGAAGACGCCGTCGCCCTCTCTGCACTACAACCTGTGGAACATCTTGAGCGCGTATGCGTGCGTGACCCGCTTCTACGCCGGCGAGCATCAAACCAACGCTAGCGAGGCTGCCGCACATCTAGTGAATCTCAGCGCTACCCTCAAGTACGGCACCAACTTCGAGGACGCTGAAGACGCCATTATCTCGGTGGAAATGGAGGCCATCACTACGGGCAACGGCCCAGCGGGCGCTGCGGCAGTGGGTAGTGCCGGTGTGGGCACAAACTTCTTCGTCGAGAGCAGGGAACAGTTGAAGCAGGATGCCCGCCAGCTCATGGGCACGCGGGACCACAAACTGGCCGCCCTGAGCGACATCCTCCGCCTGCTGGAGCAATGCAAGGCGCTGATCAACCGGAAGGCTTCGCAGGAGGCCGGGTTCCAGAAACTGTTTGCCCTTGCCAGCGGCAGCGTGGAGCTGAATCGAAGCAAAGTGTCGCAGTTGGCGAAGAAAATCAAGTTCTTGCTTTCGTATGTCATGAGGGAAGAGGTCCTCTGAAATATAAGTCAAAATACACATACACATTCATATTCATATTCAAAATCTTGTTTATTTTTTGTCTGGCTAAATTTGTGTTCCCCATGTAAAAATGGACCATCTGATTTCATCTGGGGCTGTTTTCGTCCGTGGTATGATGCAATCTCTAATGTTAATTTTTGTAAGTATTTTAGTAGGAGTTACCAATGCATTGATAGTTATCCTGAGCCAAACCATAATTTTATTCCCACTTACGTTACATTTCATTCCCACTTACGTTTTATGCCTTATGTGTTTAAACTATACTTTGAATCTTGAGTAGAATCTTGTAGAAAATTGATTTATCTATCGGATAGGAGTATAGTCAGGGCTGAGAGTTTTAGCTTGCTAGTAATTTCAAAGGGCATAATAAAGTTAACGAATATGATATCCGATCGTGGACAGAGAACGATTAACCCATTGTCGACCAGTGGGTATTTCAATATATGCACGAAATAGCGCACAACTAGCGCTGTTCAGTTGAAAGATATAGCACGATAGCACGATTTTTTTTTGTAAGTAAAGAGGATGTATAGTGGACCTACAAGGAGCATTTAATTTAATGGCGGTTAAGTGGGTTATTTAGTTTTGCCTCAGTATATTTACGGTATATTTTGAAAGTGACAATGTATATTTCGGTATAATTCTGAGGGTCGGGCGGTATATTAGATCGATAAATCCGCGGTCACACTACACCGCACATAGTTTTTTTAGTTGGGAACTCGGTACTACGCTTTTTACGCTATTTTGTTATTTGGTAGGTCTTCGCACCTTGTCCTAAAATAGGGAATTTTGTTCCTGCCCCCATCCCGTGTGCTTAATTAATTGAAATGCGCACACGTACGGTTTACTTTGGGTGTAGCGGAATTTCAATGCGTGTACTCCGTGGTTGTGTGTGTGTGTGTCTGTGCGCTGTGGTGGTGTGTGCATAGGTGTGAGTCTGGCAACAACAAAATCCCATCGGCCAGCAAGTGTTCTTCGTACGCTTCGCTTGTTAATAATTAAAGCAAAAAAGGAAACAATTTGCTGTGCGCACAGAGGAGATCTCTCTCCCGCACTATCTCGTCGTTGCCTTATGTAAGGTGCCTGGATAGAAATGCAATTATTTACTGTTAATAGGCCTAAAAAGAAAAAACACCCAACGAGAAGTTCAATCTTTAAGATAAACGAGTTTCGCTTATCTTCCCTGTGTGTTTGTGTTTGTGTGTGCTGTGCTGCTTATCTATCTCCACAAATATGCGAAGTATGCGTCAACCTGTTTCGTATACTTTCTGTTGAAAATTTCTACTGCTCCAGCGCTGGTGGAGCCGCTGCAGCAGCAGCAGCAAATCCCAAATACCTCGTCCAAACCAATGCTAAATAAGTAGTAGTTATGACTGCATGCAGCTAAATTTATAACCGCGCAAGCGAATCACCAGAAAAACCTGATGGAAATACTATAAAACACCGTAAGCAATACCGATCGCGAAGCTACGGATGGCAATGACAACAAAATAGTTGCTTGGCCGATGGATGACGCCCAAAATCAAAGACATGTCAGACGTGTTGTCGCTGTAGTGTGTGTGTGTGTGTGGACGATTAAATTCCCTATTCAATGATGCACAATGTACCCCCCATTATCCATGCTAGTCATTGATGATAACATAACAGCTACTTTAACAATGTGTTTTTGCTTGCATGTGTGTGTCATTCGTATATGAAGCAATTGCTGCATTTGTTTACAAACAGCTGATGGACGGACGGACGGACGGACGGACGGAAGTGCTGGGAAACCAACTTCTCCCCATTTAATCACTGATAAGATAAGGAATTTTCCTAATTTCGACTATTGTCTACTGAGACGTTATCGATATTCTAGTATATGTATACGCAATGAGGATTACGTAAAGTGGAGCACTATCAATGACTCAGAAAAGTAAATGTTGCCTTATCAATGTTGGCGCTAGAAAAAAACCATTCAAAGGAATGCGTTCAAGATATATGTATGTATCTGATCCATAAAAAAAGTATACGTTTAGTGAGACAGCAGTACGCACAGCTATTAAGGTCAGACTAAAAATTAAACCATAATCAACTTCAAGGCTGATTCCGATTTTGGTTTTAGGTGGGCTGGGCTAGAGTGGCCGATCGCATTCCAGCACGTTGCAATGGTCACTCTTGTTCTTGATTACGCATTACAAATGTCTTGTATACAATTTCAGCAACAATTTGCCCTCGTATTTAGTGAATTAAGTGCTTACGAGTGCTAGTTTTGGCAAATTCTGCATTTTATGGTTTTACATAGACTTTCTAAACTAATTCCCTCTTCTGCTAAACTTCTGAAATACTTACGTTCATACACACATACATATGTACATGCAGGTTTCCAGACTAAACTTTTAACCAAACAATTAATATACAAAGCAATCTTCCTCCCATATATATGTAAGATATTGTTTAACAAACAATCGCCGCATAAAGTAATTTGTTGGCCTAAGATAAACCTACAAGTTGCTCTTATAACCAAAGAACATGGTTGTTGTTTTTTTGTGTTGTATGAGTGATGTTTACGGCCAAAGAGAGAGAGACGTAGAGAGAGATTTCTATTTACGTAGCTCAAATAATTTATGATTATATCGTTCTGCCCCCTCCCCCCTTGTCGTTTCGCGTGTGGTACTTGTTGATTGATTCATTTGATTAATTTATAATTTAATGGCATCCTCCATACCTCGAATTCACAGGAAATGTCCCACCACAGCGATGATCAGCTCTTGCAGGCTGGAAGCGATTCCTTCTGGGAGCCCGGCAACTACAAACGCACCACCAAACGCATCGAGGATGGCTACAAGTGAGTTGCAAATAGAGTACCGTCGTCCACCCTCCCCTCCCCTCCCCTATGTCACTCTGTCAACGGTTGTACCACAACGGTGTTGGGTCATTGCCAGCAAACCAGTTTTCATTGTTGTACCCATTATAACCCACTTGGGGGGTATTATCATTTTGTTCAAATGTTTGTACCGCAAAGAAGGAAGAATCGTTGACGCCATAAACTATATACATATAATATATATATTTAAACTATATACATATAATATATATATTAAATCTAGTTAAACTATAGGTCTGCCTATATTTTTTTATTTAATTATCTATAATTCGCATATAATATTATTCCTTGAATATAATTGTACCCCAGGGTACATAAGCTTCGATTCCCCGAAGTGAACCTTTCTGCATTGTTATTAATTTGATTTTATCTCCATCTCTCTCTTGCGCAGACTCTGCAATGACCTACAGCAACTGATTCAGGAGCGAGCCGACATCGAGAAGGGATATGCAAAAAGTTTGCGCGCCTGGTCAAAGAAATGGGGTGACTTCATTGAGAAAGGTAAGCAATCGCAGGCAGATCAGGTGGGATTGGGATTGCGATGAAGTGGAGTGAAGATGGAGTGTTTTAGTTAGAGTGCTGTGGGTGGTAACTGTGGAATAGGACATCCATCTTCTTCTCTCGCACGCTGTGTAGCCATGCTATTTGTTTTACACATTCATTCACGCCCTGGTAGGTGGCGGGGGCCCAGTGGAGTGCGCCAGTGACCTGCTGCTGGTGATAGCGACTGCGTCACGTTGTCTTCCCACCGCTGACTCCTGCCCCTCTGCCCCTGCCGCTGCCGCTGCCTCCTGGCCCATGGCTACCTCTGTTCCTATTTGCCACATTCTGTACATCATTCTGAGCATTGTTGTTGCCGTTGTGCGATAAGTGGCTTAAGCTATTAATGGGCTTTTTGTTGTTGTTACCTCGTTTTTTGTCCACTACCATCGACTGAGACGGTGTGATGGAAGCAGCGGCTGAGGCATTGCACAGTGGTACCAAACTGCACGACTACTAAATGAAATATTTTAATGATGAGCGCTGCGGGAGCTCTGCTATAAATACTAGAACTTAGCCTCGGAGTTTTCGCTCTTTGATGGGTTAACTTCTCTAGTTTTTTTGTCCTTCATAGGATCTATAAACAGTTTTCGAAAGAATTTCATTGAGATAACAATTGCAAAAAATCTGCAGATGACTTCGATTTCGAAAGGTCTTTTGAATATTTTTTATGAAAGGAATGTTGTAATAAGCGCCTAACTTGTTGTCATTTTATTCTTGTGAATGTTTTTCACTCCCAGACGCACAAGCGAATGAAGCAAAAGAGAATGCCCTAGAATTGCAAAAACAACATACATTGCGTGTGCATTGATGGTCGACTCGAATTTCGCTCATAAGGATTCTTGTTCTTCTGGTTGGATTTCTCCCAAATGAAAAAAGACAGCCCACTGGCAGAGTAGCTCAAATTAACACAAAATTGTTCAAGCTTAACCATGATTTCGTCATAATTTGTTGATATATTCCTATCATATTTTTATGTATGTATGCCGTTTCAAAGTTTTTTTTTCTATTACCAAAAAAAACCCTAAACCCATAAATTGGGGGTTCGCCCTAGCCATTTTATTTGGATATCCGGCACAGTGTGCGTAGAGCGCTTCTTCGCGAAATGAAATCGAGTACACAGCGCTTGCAAAGTTGGTAACCGCTTTGCCTCATTGCTGGCGGCTGTTGTTGCTGTCCACTTTCACAGTAACCAGCAAAAGCCAATTGCAAAAGCGGCTACTTCTACCACCGCCGCCTACTCCCGGCCACTTCCACTGCCTACTCTTCTGCCATCCCCACGTATACATATACAAATACGAATACGAGCGGAATTTGCCTAGTTTTGCGTCTAGCCAGAGTCAGAGGCAACGGATGCAGAAAGGCAGAGGCCGAGACAGAAGCAGAAGCTCCAGCTAGTGTCCATCCAGACTAGACCAAACCGGCACCAAAGCGTCGCTTGAAATGGTTTCAAAAATCAATGCGACGGGGAAAATAGAACGAGTTATTTCTGTGCTAAGCGTCTCAATTTCTATATATCTCTGAGTGTACGAGCATGTGTGTGTGTGTGTGTAGTGGCATGGATAGGGGCAGGGGGGCAGTGGGCATCCGATTGAGAATAGTCTCTCGTTAGTC